ATCATTGCCCCTCTTCACCTCCCCACTCATAACTCATTCCCTTCGAATGCAACCCCACCTCTTGAACTGGACCAGTAGTCGTGGTTTGCCGAGACAAAGAGCGTGTCATTGCTCTTCATCTCTTCCGGCTGGCTGACTGACACCTCTGACAGCATGAAGGGTAAGAGAGAAGTTACTCTGTCGTGCTCTTTCTTCTTCCTTGTTCGAGCGCCCTGTCCACGCACACACACTCAGAGCACAGTCTACATGCACACCACCCCCTTTTTTCTCCTCCCCAGGAGGGACAGAATCCCATCATCTCTCTATGTCAGTGTCGCTGTTGCAGTTCTCAGTCCATTAGCATAATATTCCCATTCCCTTGCCGCCTCACTCGTCCAGTATCAGACAAACTGCTCTGGGAATCATAGTGGGATATTCTCTGCTCATGCTCACACTACTTTTTCTTTTGACTCGCTATTCGTTATGCTCTCTCAACCTCGTGCACAGACGCACTCGCTCTCTTTTTTCCGTCTTTGATTCAGTTCGTCAAAGCTATCCATCCATCCACCTATCCACGTCCATCTTTATTAAAAGGGATGAGAGGGAGAAGATGGATAGATACATGGATAGATAGATACAGAACGATGGTGAGAGAGAGATGAAGTGCGGGACTGTGCATGGCTCACTGGCTCAAACCACTTACCCCAATGAACTACACCAGTATGACATGCTCACAGACAGTCTCTAATTAACCTTTGGTGGTACAAATATATATTTGTTCCATTTTGTTGACATACAACAAACCTTGCCCCTGGGTGGAGCTTTCTGTATCGTTATTCTTCTTTAAAATCGGTTTACGAGACATGAATAATACCGCTTGTGTAGCACAGAGAAGTGCTGCAGAGTCCCGTGTAAGCTGGTGTGCTTGAGCTGCTGGAGGTGGTGACTTCACTGACCTGCACATTCTGAGTCATTTTAAGGTAGGAATTGGTTGGTTTAATGAGAAAATAATCTAAATATGTAATATTGACACACAGAGGGGAATTTATTAGGAGTCAATGACCGGAGAGAGATTTTAACTTAACCCTCAGTAAAAGCCCAAACATCTCCAGTGACCACGAAAAGACAGATAATAACCATCCATGTTGACATGTCAGCTGGTGTGAGGGCTGAGAGCAGTGCCGGGGCCTTGTAGATCGGGTAGCAGAGCTTTGTAATGGCTTAAACTTCACTAAGCGCCTGCAACTAACCTAAGTAAAGCTCATTTGCCTTCATAAAAGCACTGACAGAAGTAAAAAACACCGTCTTAGAACATCGGTAATCTCTTTTAAAATATAACAAAACTACACTACGACTGTAACTCAATACCTCCTGCAGTGAACCCCGGTGAAAGCCACAATTGATTATCATCACAGGAAGGTTTCCACTTTGTTGCAGGTACAAAAGTATTGGGTATGTTTTAACAAGATACAGCACCGTCATTACTGCAAAACTGCTGGCGACAACTTGAGTTTTTCTGCAGCTTTTTTGTCCTGCTGATACATTGTAGTCTTGCTCTTCCCCCCCTCCGCCTTTTTTTTTTTTCTTCCTCTACTCGCTGCACCTGCTTGAATTAAAAAAATATGCAGCGCGTGTTAGATTTTGATAGGTAAGATAAGGTAACGCCGCTGAGATACATCACTGAAGTGAAAAATTGCACACTCTCCAAGTCGACGCCAGAGCCATGATGGATACGTTCAGGGGAAGAGTGCTTCTCTAAAGCTCGGGGAATCTCACCTTAGAATTGTTTTCGTCCACATAAGAAACAGACCTGAAAAGAACTGTTTAGGTATTCATAGCATAAACCTGATCGGAATCACATGAGACCAGACAAATACGAAAATCAGAACTGTGTCACTTCTGCCAGCCAGCCAGCGTAAACACCAGCCCGGATATATGACCGACAACAAACAAGACGACACAAGAGCAATGGGCAAAACATACGAGGAACAAGTGGGCCAAACATGCCATTACAGTCAGTGACCTTGTGCAAGTATCTGAAGCGTCTCAGTAGGTCTCTGTCATCCTCTCAGACTGATTGCTATTCTGCTGCCACGTCACAGGACTGATGTGAGTGATGGAGGACTTACTTAACTCCATCCAGCAAGGACGGGAGGAAGGAAACACTGTGTCCTACAACACCTGAATGTCAACTGAGGACCACTGCTGTGCTATATCGCCCCCTGTTGATGATTTGGACTATCAATCAGTGGTTTCTGAGAATTAGGGATGCCCAGCAGGATGCACAAAGTCTAACAGATGCACACTTGCCACTATAATGTAGCCGGGAATCCTGTTGTGGGTGGGAATAGGGATGAAAAAGGTGGGTATACCTTTAAGATCAAGAGGTAAAGCATGACTCATTTTATGATGTCACTTGCAAACAAAATACAGAATTGTTCAAATAGATTCATCTAGGTCAAGATGATCTGGCTTTAGATGAATCATATTTTGCTATCCAGGATCAGTACTTTTGTACCAGTCAACTTTGAAATGGCTCATCCTGATCCTGATGCAAACTTTTCAAGATGACTTAATCTGGGTTTCCAGAGCTCTTAATAGGAGTAAATATCACATTGAGCGTTGTTATTTATGTAAAGAACTACATGTGGAACAGGCAGCATTGGGGTCACTTTGAATATTTTTGTTTGAAATCAGCACGAGAAAAGGGAGAAATTACACAAAAACTTTATTTTACACAGGAAGGCCCCCTCATCTGATCCACAACAAACAAATAACTAACATAAATCACAAAAACATTGTGTGTTTCAAATCATAAAAAGGCAATTTGCCCTAAAAAAATAAAAATAAAAAAAAATCTTCAATTGTGGAGACAAAAACTTATTGAAACTCACTTTTTAAGGAGGCACAATAAATTCAAATATAGTGATAAATGATGATAAATGAGATATAGCCTAATATTTCTGTAGGAATATTTTAAGGGGGCAAAACTCTTCTATGACATTTTTTTGGTGAAATCCACCCTGAATCCATCTTTCTGCTACAATCAAGATAATCTGGATCACACAAATCCTACTCAAAACTTTTGACAACACACACTAAAGGTTTGATCCAGATCATAAATAAGAATTTCAGGAACCCCTTTTTCTTTTCAACAACCCATTTTCAAGAGTCGATTCAATCCGATAGCCGAAATTCGATTAGATTGCTTTTGAACAACCGGGCCCTGGCGAACAACCAGCGCGGCAACCTGCGCGCTCTTATCGGGGAAGATAACGCGCGCAGGTGCGCCGCCACACGCAGGTGGGACAAAGTTAAACCATGCGCACGGATAAAAAGCACAACGGAGCAGCAGTGGAAAAAAAAAAGAAAACAAATCAATGAGCCATCAGGACACAGCAGTCTAAAAGCCCGGTGCAGCTAAATCACATATCTGCAGAAACTCATCCACTCCTGCTGGCTCGTAGAAACAGCTGCGTAAAAATGTGCACAGCAAACTAAAACACAGCGGATGAGAAAAGACTGTGAATGCCTTACCTGAGATGACTGCGCTGGTAGCACAGAGATGATTTCACTGTGGGATCAGTTTGTTTTCTGTCATGTGGGGGCTGAATTACACCGTTTATCTCTCAACATATAACACCGCTGCTTCAAGTCGTGTCCACAGGCGACTTTAAGTAGAAAAGCAACTGCTGGCAAAGTGATCTGGCCGGAATATGAGTCCACATTTGACTTGAGAAACGCCACTCAGGGCCTAGTTTTGGACAATTTACTTCCTGTCACGTGACAAATCCATCGATTTGAAGTTCAAACCACAAACATCAAGAAGAAGGCGCAGAGGATGAGGATGGACACAATGCTGCTGACGCTGGAAAACAGAATCATCACTAAGCGGTGCATTAAGAGTTTATTTTTAGTCCTCCCATACTTTATAGAGCATGTGAAACTTGTTATTGATTAGATTTTCCATTCATTTAGGTTTGAAGCTGTGTCTTTAAAGGCCTTGTGGTTCCTGAGCTCCAGGTGGGTGGTCTTCATCCAGGCCCACCACCGGCTCCAACACAAATGGACTGAGCTGATTAATTAGTGCTATAAACACTGGATCCGGGGTGATGGTGTTCATACCTATATATATGCAAGGATTTATGGTTGTCATGTAAAGAGCAGTGTGGTTTGATGATTGATTGGACAGTGCGCATGTGCAAAATATGGGGAAACGCATATGTGTGTGGGCTTATATGAGCCATCATAAAAGAGCATGAGGACAATAAAGAGACCCAGTAATGGATGGAGGTTGGCTGGTGGTACCTTTACTTACTCTCTGAGGGATGTTTATTCTTGCTTACTTTGCATTTGTTTCTAACATTAGTTTTAATCTTCTGTTATGATTCTATATAATGGTGGAGAGTCAGTAAATACAGTTTCTCATTTCCCAGAATGTATTGCTTCATATTGCACTACATTTAAGTGAAATATATTGTGTGTGTGTTTTTTTTTTACTTCAGCTGAGTAGCAGTTTGTCTATATGAATAGAAAAATAGTGCACATTATCATAAATAATAGTAATTAAATAACATAATGTGAAAAAATCACATCCTCTAAAAGGGACCGTTCTGTATAATATGAGCTTTTACTTTTGATGTTTAATCAGGTTAAAGATTCACTAGTTTGATTAATGCATTCAGAAGTGCTTGCGATTCCAGTTCAGGGATAATTAGGTGACTTTATTGGGAGACAATACATTCATGACACTTGATCCAAGCAAATGCAGTGTGACCAGTAGATGGCAGCAGTTTTCTTGTTTAGCTCCCTCTGCTCCAAACTCACTTCTGTCCAGTCAACAGGCTGAATCACTGGATGCAGGGAAGGGGCAGTGGAGAGACAATAAAAGTACTTTTTTTTTTTTTCATTTTTCCTCTGAGTAAGCTAAGTAGCTGATTGGCTGGAAGTTTTAGGATAGTTTTTCTCTCTCCCCCCTCTACTGAACTGCCCTCTATAAAACATACGGTATGATGGTGTGAAAGCTTCATTCTTTCCAAGTGCGCAACAGAGCTCAATTGATGGAATTACTAAATTGGATTGGAAAGTAAACTTTAACTCTGGATTAACTTGTATATGGAATATCAACTTTAACATCATAGAACGCCGAATTACTCCACATATTTTACCATTTAAGAAAAAAAAATCTACTCAGGCTTAGTTTTAGGCTTCTTAACGGTTTCAAAGTCGGGTTTTTACGCACAGCGTGTACCATGGCGAACTCCTGTCTCCAACTGAGCGGCTTTCTCCTCAGCTGCCTCGGATGGCTGGGCATCGTGATCGCGACAGCCACCAATGACTGGGTGACTATGTGCAAATACGGTTTGAACACCTGTAAGAAGATGGATGAGCTGGGAGCAAAGGGACCCTGGGCGGAATGTGTCATCTCCACAGGACTCTACCACTGCGTCTCCCTCACTCAGATCCTGGACCTGCCAGGTAGACACTGCTCTGTGCTCATGAGTATTTTTTATGTAGATTCACACTGTATGAAGTTATTCCTTTCGTTTTAAATGCCATGCAGCCATTTCTTCTTCTCTCTTCTGATCCAATTATCTGTTCAGGATTAAAAATTAGGCCTTGTTTTTCATCACTGATTCATCCATATCAAAAATAGCTATTGTTTCCGATTGTCCGTAAGTTTCTGATGGGAGTTTTGCTTTTCCTTTTTGTTATCTCTACAGCTTACATCCAGACGACTCGCGCCCTGATGATCACAGGTTCAATCCTGGGTCTCCCAGCGGTGGGGATACTCCTCATGTCCATGCCCTGCATCAGTCTTGGCAATGAACCCCAGAGCTCCAAGAACAAACGCACCATCCTGGGAGGAGTGCTTATACTCATAGTCGGTAAGGGACACGACTTTATTTCTATTTTATTTAGACAAATCATTAATCAGAGCAGGACACATGGTGTGACGCTCACATCCACACACTGACCTCTTTTAACCTCGAGTGCTCACAAGCTGCTGAGAGCAGAGGATGTTGGATACGACTGTTTTCCTCCCACGGGTGCACACATATGCACGCACTCATACAGATGGACTTATATGTTCCTGTTCCCCTCCACCAGATCCCATCACATTCCTCTCCTCCACCTACTCTCCTCCACACCCTGCTTTTGTCCTGAACCACATGGGAACTCCCTCCCAGAATTGCCCACTTTACTGTGCATATAAATATTTCACTGGTGCTGTAGCGTTTTCCACCACCCGTGTCCCTAAAATGAAACTCCAACACCTGTCCATGCCATTTTATTTTCCACTGCTCCTTTATTTTTTTTTTAACAGAACAAAACAGATCCCCAAATTACCAACATAGTCATGACAAAATAGCTGAAGCTTTTACTTAAAAGCTTAAAAGATAAACGGATTTGTTTGGGGGGAATATTTTTACATCAAGGAGGATTTTTGTTTGAGCTGAGTTTCATGGCAGATTAAAAATTCACTTGTTGTGTTGCCTATCACTTTCTCTATATAGCATCGAAAGAGCTCCCGGCAATAATTAGTTTAAGCACAAATTTAATTGTATTTGTTTGCTGTTTCCTTGGAGCTTTAGTTCAGTCCATTTGTGTTTTTTAGTGAATTCATATTTGCCTGTTATAGTGCAGCACATCCACAATATATTAATGGTATAGTTCTGTTCTGTGCATATAATGGCAAGAGCCCAACGTACATTAAATATGTCCTTGTCAGCCGTAAAGGGAGTTCAATATTTGTACAGCTCTAACAATAGCAACAATAAACCCTTCCTTTGAAGTTCAAGCCAAAGCCTATATAAAACTAATATTATTCTGTTCATTACTTTTTAGAATCTGTCATTCCTTTGTATTCTGTACAAAGAATACGACAGATTACACAACTGTAATGACTCTATTTTAGAATTTCCTCCACTATTTACTTTTAAAGAAACTGCCAAACAGTTTGCAGCACAAATATTGGAACAATGCATCGTAGAGTGTTAAAATGGTCAATCTTTTACCATGCATTCATCCACCTATTATCTATCTTATCACACCGTTTGTGGGCCTGTGCAGCTACTGTATGCATATGGGATATCTAAGCTCCAAAACAATACACATATACACACAACTATTAATGCCTTTTAGCATTAAAGTGTTACTAATGACCTGCAAGACAGTAGCTGAAAATATATGGTTTACATTGTGTCTGTTGCAAGTAGTTAATAGTTTGAACCTAAAGTTCACAATTTACATGTGTATTTATACTCTGTACTATGTACGGCATGTTTTCACCAAGCCTTGGTTGCACTCATAACAAAATTATAAATATTTTGCACGCTGCACCATTTTGCATCCCCACTTCAGTTAAATGTTACTGTTTTTTATGCTCTTTGAAGATAATGTTGACATGGATATATAGATATATTGGTCTATGTGTACAGAATTCATATGCACCATTTTGCATCCCGCTTTATTTGTAATTTGACAGCATAGACAGCACTGTGTGGTGTATTTGTGTATGTTTAGTATTCTGTGGTCTTATTTTGCATCCCCAAATTTATTAAGCTTACTTCAAGTTGTAACCTATAGGTTTTTAATATAGTATAGTTGTGCATAGGTTGCTTATATTTATACATTTCACAATGCGATTTGCATTCAAAGCTAGCCCTTTGTAATTGTAGATGGTGTTTCTGTGTGTTTTGTTAAATCCTGCATCACCTTTCTTGCATTCACAGTTTACTTTGGGTTTTATTACAAGCTGCTGCAGAGTTTGGTTTTCCTTGCACCATTTTGCATGCCCAATTTTATGATGTCATTTCTTTAACATGTGGCAATAAAAGATGCTCATGTGTATATATTATAATAAGCAGCACCACTTTTTAAAATCCCGACTTCATACTTCCTCTATCTCGTTCTCCTCAGCGGCCTGTGGTATGGTGTCTACCGTCTGGTTTCCCATCGGGGCCCATCAAGAGGACGGCCTCATGTCGTTCGGCTTCTCCCTCTACACCGGATGGGTGGGCACTATTTTTTCCCTGCTGGGTGGGTCCATCGCCACCTGCTCGTCGGATTCCTCCTCCTCCCGCTCCTACCAGGAAAACAATCACTTTTACTACTCGAAACAGGGAGGCGGCAACCTGCCAGCCGCCTCCTCAACCAATCACGCCAAGAGCGCCCACGTGTGAGGTTTTAGACGAATCCCACGTGGATGCGTAGGGGACTGCGGTTTGTATATAGAGACCTGTGCACGAGAGCAAACAAACACATGTATTCACCATCGGCATCAGTAACATTTACATTCAAGTCTATACTGGCAGAGAAAGAGACACACTCATGTTGCTTTAAGTGAAGGAAAATAATTCTTGAACGAGCACACAAACATTCATCAAACTCCACATATAAAAGACTGTTTTGGTAAGCCTTTTTTTCCCCCACCAGTGGATTGTTTTTTGTGTCGCAGGGCCCATCTTCCAGCCTCCTCATGCTGGGTGTGGTGTGGACTCTCCCCACTGTTACATAACTGCACAACCTCCTGAGTAACCGTCTGCACAGCAGCCTTTTATACTGAGATATTATATTCGATATTACTTCTATTTTTATATAATGTACCTGAAAATTAAATCTTGAGTGCCTTTGTTGATAAATGTTTTTTTTTTTTTAAAGCCAAGTAACATCATGATCTATTGTTTTTATTAAAGCAGGGTATGGCAGTATTATACTTGGAATTGAAAATGTCTTCATTAGCATTGTGTGCATTGATCTTTCTTTGACAGTATTGTACAACTCTCTCGCACATTTGCCTTCTGAGTGATAGACTTAATTAAAATAACATAGTACTGTGCTTTTTCCCGAGCCCCACAGGATGATGGTAGCGTGATGGGAACATAAATTTCAGCTGCAGTGTTTTTGCCAGCAGTGTTACAGGCTGGATTAGAGTCTCAGTATTTGCACTGAAATCATTTCCTGAAGAGTACAACGTTCAACTCTGTCATCTGACGGGGATGTTTCACAGGCTAAAGTTATCTTACATGTTTTTATTTGACTAACTTGCATCTATTTTAGGTTTGAAATAATAACTACCAAAAAAAAAGCAGCATGTGACCTTTCCATTAAACATCTTAGCTCTAAAAAAATGTCTTGCTTCAAGTATATTTCATTAGTGTGCACAAGAAACGCTGTGTAGATCGGCTTCTCCTGAAGGAAGATATGGAACGTGATATTCCCAAGCTGAAGGAACCTGATATTTCTGTACAGAAGCGGTGTCAGCTGTGGCTATTTATTGTTTCACTGATTTGCTGTTTGTGTAAATTTCAACAATAAAGACAAAACAATCAAATCTGCCTTCGTCTTAAGCGCAATTTGTCACCGTTACACGGAGCCGATAAGATATTTTCATGTCACGCGTCATTTAGCTGTCTCTTATTTTGGTGATTTATGATACAAGAAAGACAGTAGATGCTGTAAGTGACGCGTGTGTGTGAGATATCCGGTAATCATTGCACCGGAACAAGCTGTGCGTTGTGATTTTTGTTGCAGCTTAGCGATATAGACGGATGTTTGTGTGGCTCTAAGCTGAAGAAAATGAGAAAACATGACGTGTCGTGCAGTATTTTGACTCGGTGACCTTGAGTCAGATCGGCACAGAGGAGTCTCAAAGCCACACGCCCTCCCCCTGTCAACCACACACAAAGTACGCAACTGAGAAAGATAATTGCGTCCGGTGTGAGCGCTCCTCTGCCCAGAACAAGGTCACTGAGTCACGCACAGATATTACATGACTCCTCAGAAACAATACGTGCTATCTCACTGTTCTCGGTTTATCTTCAAACACACGCCATCATTTCTCGGATAGTCTCGTTCTCCACCCAGTTACTGTATTTCTGCATATCATTTGCATGTGAATTTTCCTGGCACGTCTGTGTTTGCAGGTGTGTGTGATCATGTCAGTGTGTGTGCGCATTCCCTGAAATGTGATGCTGTTCCAGGCGCAGAGCCATGGAGTCCACAGGAGGCCAGTGGGAGTCTAGTGGGCAAACAAGCTGTCCTGTATTGCTGAAAGAGGCTTGTCCTGTTATGATATGCAATACTTTAACATCTAAAGCCGCTGTGTATCAACAACAAAGCTAACCAAGAAGTTTAATCACCTCCTCACACACCGGCTTCATTACTCTGTGATATTCAATCTTTTCCATTTTAATTATTTTATGTATTTAATTTTCTACTCTCATGTATCCACTACTGGCTCGTCTATTTATATTGCTACCCAGAATACCAGTCAACTTTTCCCATGAACATCCATAAACTCTTTCCTGTCAGCTGTGGAAAAAACAAAAGTATTCTAGCATTACAGAGCATTTTCCTGTGAAGTTGTCAAAACACAGTCTTTTTGAAGCTACACTGCTAGCGGAGGTGAAAAACACTAAATATGGCAAATGACAATTGTTATTGTTACATTTTAGATTAATTTAGGACCCTTGCTGAATTGGAGCATACCTGTGTTAATATAAGTTGCATGTTTGTGGTGTTTGCTTTCACTTGCACCATTTGGCATCCCTAATTTTATTATGTAATTTGCCAGCATTCATTCAGTACAAGTCATATGAGTTTATTATAATTAGCAGCTCTTTTTTTTTGTTCCCAACTGAGAGATGTTAAATTTGGCAAAAGAAACATTTTATGAATTCATATTAAAATGATATTTTAGAATTGATATGTTTATTATTTCGGACTTCTGCCAGTGCAGTTGTGTAACTCACTGACATCTCCAGGTCATGACAGCATGTTCGCTTGATAAAACAGCAGTTTGACACTTTGAGGAACACATTCATGCACTTTCATACCGAGTGAAAGGTGAGAAGATCAATGTCATGTCTGTCAACTGTAGCCCAGAAATGTTAGCTTAGCATAAAGATAACACAGCTAACCTGCATCTCTGCAGTGGAAAAGTAAACACTTTAAGCCATGTAGTTATTGCACTGACGTAACGATAGTATTATTTCATGCATTTGAGATTTGTGTTTTTAAAGGGGTAGTGCAACATACCACCACAAGATAGTGCACCTTCCTAGATCGGCTTTAATGCTATAAAATATAAAAAGCAAACAATGACATTGAATAATTAGATTTCCATCAGGGGTTTATCCTTCTTGCTCTCTACAAAGTAGCATCAGTTTCAAATGTCCAACCATTTCTTTTAGGATAAATTGACCAAAACTGCAAAGCACATCTGCAGCAGTTTGGTTGTTTAAGAATCTAAGAAAGAATTTATTTTTACTTTATTAGGCCAAAATGGACCAAAAACCATTTAGTCGTGTTTTTTTTTTTTAACCATCTGGGTCATGTTTAAAACCACACATCATCACCATTACAACCATTCATCGTACCATCGTGTTACTGCATATGTATGTGCATTTTCATCTCATCATGGGTGAATAAATGAGCAAGCCTCTGTTTGGTATTTGCAATAAATAACTTTCATTGTTGCATGGAAGCAATATCAACAACTCAGCAAAAAACAGTGCACCCAGGAGCAAAAGAACCACACATATGGAAGAAATCTTTAAAAAAAAAAAAAATCAACATAAAAAACAACTACGTTATACAGCTTTGTGCCAAAATATACAGAAGAGAAAAAAAACGATATCTAGTTGTTGCGAGAGAAGCCAATCTCAACAAGTCGACACACAACTGACTGGACACTTGGCCACAGCGAACACAGAGCACAGGAAGAACATGGCACGCCCTCTCCGAGACAAAATAAACAAATAGTAGCTGACTTTAAAAGCAATAGTGGCAAGATTTGATTACGCCTTTTTCATAGAATTGTATTAAAATAGTTTCTGCATGTAGTACTCTTAACCCCTAAACCTTCTACAGTCCTATTGATGTCGAGAGCAACCATTTCGAAATCCTTCAAAGGAAAGGATCAAGGTTTATAAATGAGCTTTTGTCATTCTAGAGAGACTACGGTTGGTAAAAATATATTTTTAGCAGTTTCTCCCAGGCCCCCTTGTGATTCAACAAAAACACAGAAAGTGAAGGCCGATAACTCCACCCAGCTCTGGTGTGCACACCTACCCGAGGAGGGCCTGTGGATGGGAAACAGCTGTAGAAAAATACTTCTTTTTTTTTTTTTTCTTTTTCCTCTTTTAAGTTCACTCCTCCTTCAGTGTTTCACTTTTCACCGTGTCATGTCGGACAAATGTAGTCATCGGAGTCTAGACTAATACTTTTCAATTTTTAATGAAATACTAGCAACTAGGATTTTTTAAGAAATGATCATTGCACTGTTGACTGTGAGAAAAGAAAAAAATAAAATAAAATCAGTCCTCCTGTGATAAAGTAGCTTATTAGCAGACCCTCCCCCAAGAAACATTGTTAGCTCTGTTGTATCTTAGGTGTTCACTTTGAAGAAACTACAGTCTTCTGTACGTGAAAAGTAAACAAACATTGTGGACTTTGGCTTGCAGAGGTTGTGGTCGAGAAGATGGACATACAAGAAGTAGGCATATTGTAAGAGGTTGAGGGAGGATGTGAGAGGAGTCGTCCCACAGATCAGTGAGTTTGCTACATGTTCTAGTTCCTTTTCAAACGGAGCCTTGGCTCTCGTACCTGGGCGAGGAGATACGTGGTTTGAGTTGAATCTGGTAAATGAAGAACTTGTCTCTCATTCGACGGAGCTGCAAAGTATAAGAAAGATTTAGGTTTCTATTGAGGGATCCTGCGTAATGGCGTTTTTGAAGCTGATTCGGTTGTACAACATCTGCTAAATCCTCTCCGAGCACAAAGGCCCGAGGTTCCCAGGTACAAGAGCGAAGCCTGCGTTTGCTTCGGTGTAGTGTTCTATTATGTCTCGTTGCGATCAGTCACCACATGCAAGTACGACACTTAAAAAGTCTGGGCCTCGTGCATGAAAGCATGCTACACATTCACCGGACGGTCACATTGAGGCGCAGGCGTGGAACCACAAACACACACTCGCACGCTCACTGTGCATGCATTCACACGGTCTTAACGCACACACACACACACACACACGCACACACACACACACAGAGCAGATAATATAATAAGTTGACTGTACAGTCCAGTGTCAGAGGCATGGCACCGCCTGAATCTGCCTTTTACGTTTTGGCTGAGCTATGAATGCAAAAGCAGTTGGATTTCTTTTTGGCTGAGTTAGGAGGTGATCCGGGTGGGTAAGGTATTTTGGCTGACTAGTACAAAATGGAGCATGTGTTTGGATGTGTGTGAGATAATGTGCAAATCTTTTTTTTTTACGATGTGCTCTGTCTTTTTTCCCCCAGCCTGACAAAATATTGATATTGGAGGATTCTGAAACTCAGATTATGCTCAGTATCAACAACTTTTGAAATACCAGTTTACGATGGTGACTGATATCATGTCTTGTGTATTAGAAGCACTCCAGGCTGTGCTGATCTTAGCGTTAAACATCTCACACGGGAGGTGGCTGTTCGGCTAAAGTTGACCTGGAAATACGCATCCTGTGCAATTAGTTGTAAAATGTAAACTCCTTCCAGGTCACTATACCACCTAAGTTTCCATAAAGGATGCGACCTTGTGTGGCTTTAGTCTCACTTTGGCCCTGGTTAGCCTCCGATAAGTGCTTCAGACACGTTTTTGAACCCACCCAAATCTCAACACCCGTATGATCCACTCCACTGCAAACATGGACAAACTTCTTCCTGCAATTGCAAGCTGCAGAATTATCCTTGTGATACTGAGCTGTTTTTGAAATCGTTTGACTTGACGACACCGAGGGGCGTTTTTTGAGTGTAGATCGTGGATTGTGTAGGAGTAGAGGTAGGGTGGGGGTTTAGCGTGGCATCCTTAGATTTAGTGCATTAGACAAATAAGGCTTCCCTGGAAGGGACAGATGCAGCAACAGGGGGCACGAGGAAAAAGGTAACAAGGAGGACAATCAGGGTAGACGGCAGCAGCTGAAGCACCCCCACCCTCAACATAATAACATACCGGTGTGCCATTTGGTGTAAATCCCATAGATGCATTGCACAATACCTTTTTGTGCCTTATCGTTGTAGAAAAGTGCTGTAGGAATAAACCTTCTGACATTCTTACCCCTAACCTTGGCAGCTTTAGCTTACTCGCCCTACAAATTGAGCCAAACAGGCTCATGATTAGATCTGAATGAGGTTCACAACATCTTCAAGTGTGTAGCAACGATGTAGGTACCATGTAAAGAGTGGGACTTCAGCACTAGCTACATGCATAACAACTGAAGAGGTAAGGGGGCAAATGGGAGAATCACAGGGTCGGAGCAGAACTACGGGGGGAGAGAAGTAAATGCGACAAATCAGAAGAGCGATAGGAGACACCCTTTTGGTGAAACAGGAGCTAATGGATCGACAGGCCGCGAACAGATTGCTGTTACAAATCCCGACTGAAAACCAATCCCCGCTCTATCACTTGTGACTTAGAGTGGTAACTCCCCCGATGACACGGCCTGATGGATATCAAGAGGAGGGCGAAGTGGCAAGTGCATGAGGGAATAGCGGGGGTTGGAAGAGCAAAGGAGCAGTGGAAGTAGATATGAAATGTAGAGGAGAAGTGAGAAGAGAGTGCAGGGGGATAGAGATTGAAGAGGAGAGATTAGATTTCAGTTCATTCAGAGCAGAAGTGAAACTCATCCCTCGTCAGGTTGGGACTGCGTGGAAGTCTGGAAAATATGTTTCAACCTAAAGAGGAAGAAATCAATCCTCCACTCTTTTCTGAGCCCCCCCACCCCGACAACATTTTCTGTATAGTCCCTAATTTTGTTTCCTCCTTGAGGAGAGAAGATATAAACAATGACGAAAATCCATTTTCTGAACCGAATGAACCGAAAATTAATTCCATCCAAGCCCCGGTAAACAGCAAGAACCTCATCAACGGAGAGAGACAAGAGAAAAGACTGAAGAGGAAAATATGACATTCATCACAATAAACCCTGCAGCTTGTCAGTTAGGATTCAACCTGTTCTCTGCTTCTAGTCTGACAGTCTACTCTCTCCTCTTTTTGATGGGTTACGCTGCACCATGAGTTGCTTTGTTGCAGGTGGATTGATTTTGAGCTTCATGCTGGGGCAGAGTGGGAAGAACAAAAAAAAACCTAAAAAAAAACTACACATACTAAGTAAAACACACTTTATACACGCACAGAATCGATGTAAAGGTGGAGTTTCAGTGCACGTACGGCACACCCTCACACATACACAGGCAAAATTAAAGTAGAAAACAGACAGAATCTGAAACTCACATACAGTAGATGAAGGCACTATTGCAAGCAAAGTCCAAGTACTATTTGTGACAGAAAACATCAACACCCCGTTTTCCAAATCCACTTCCGGGTCCCTTGGGCTAGATGTTAGGGGTCAGGGGGAAGCATTTAAAGACGGACGTAGAGCAGCGTTATTTAGATGTTTTTTTGAGAGCATGTCGGAGGTGAGAAATCAGGCCAGAGGGAGACATTTGGGCTTTCTGTCATCTCACTTTTCTGTCTGTCTGCGTTAACAGGAGGAAGCGAGGTGCTGATTCATCTGTCGCATCTCATCACCTTCTCCTCTCCTGTATCCCATAATGCTTAAACATAAACAGTTGCTTGACGCACTGTGTCATGTGGCTCGCGGCCGGCGCCGTGATCCAAATTATATTTTATCTTCTGCTACATCCACACTTTTCTATCTGGCCTCTCTCTCCGTGTGGGATGTGGACTCCGGTAAGTGAATAACAAGCGATTGTGGTAAGAAACTCATGACCTTGACGTCCACGTTTGTGTGGGAGCCGAGCGTGGCGGAGTAAGGTGAAAAGAAAAGCTTTTCCCACCGCCAAGAAACCATCTAGCCCAAGGGTTAGACACACGAATAAACACATGCAGGCATGCACACACGCGCACATACACACACTCATTCATGCACTCGCATACTGTTTTCCCCTCCCTTCCCCCAGGCAGCAGACAAAGGCAGTACATTCAGGGTAACACAGAGTCAGTCCCTTCAGAAATCCATCGGATCCTCCTCCGCGAGGGCACGATTGGCAACGGTTCTGCCTCCGCCTTTCGACGGCGTCCCGTCGCTTTCGGGTTTCGCCTCGGGAGGAGGGGTCAGCCCCGATCCGCCCTCCGGTGCGCCCCAGGGTTCGGTGGTAGGCGGGTAGAAGTCGTCGTCGAAGCCGCAGAAACCCTCGTCCACACCTTGATCGTAGCGCTGGTAGGTGGAGGCGTGGACCTCGTTCTCTCTGGCTGTGATCTCCAGCGTGCTGTTCCACATGCCGTAGCCGAAGTAGATGAGCACACCTGTACAGATGCACAAATCACTACACACGCACGTATAATCCAACAGACGCAGCATGTTAGGTTTTCTGGCAGGAATTTATGAGTTCATATGCAAATTTAAATAATAGAAATCGAGTAAACCCTTGACGAACTAAAAAAAAAAAACAATCCCTCCCACTACGAGTGAGTCAGGAGAGCAATCCTACTCGCAAAGTCAAAAAAACACACAAGCGTCCACCAGTGTTTGTGTACAAACACAAACAGCTCTGCGGGAAACCAGTCAGCGTGAATTCTGCTTTTACATAAGCAGTAAAAAACTACAAAGAAGTGCTTTAATGTCAAGACAAATACAGACGGACAGAGATATAACTGAGGTTGGCAATAAAAGGAAAATGAGACTCACCCGTTCTTCCACAAAAAAACAAACAACAAAACACGTTTTACTGGCAAACTGAGCCAATAAGAAATTTGTTATTTTCAAGATATTGAAATCCATCCATTATCTATACACCGCTTAATCCTCACTAGGGTCATGGGGGGCTGGAGTCTATCCCAGCTGACTCAGGGTGAAGGCAGGAGACACCCTGGACAGGTCACCAGTCTATCACAGGGCTACACTTAGAGACAGACAACCAAGCACACTCACATTCACACCTACGGACAATTTAGAATCACCAATTAACCTCAACATGAGGTGGACTGTGTGGGAGGAAGCCAGAGAACCCAGAGAGAACCCACGCTGCACAGAGAGAACATGCAAACCCCACCGGGACGCGAACTGGCAGATATTGAAATGAGTCCCTCAATTGTTTAAGATCAAAACACCGTCAGTAGAAACTGTGTCCTGTCATGACAAAATAAAACTTAACACCAAAGTGAACTGTTAATCAGGGATGCGATCACTTACCCACAAAACACCAGATTGAAAACCGAATCCAGGTGATGGCAGACAGTTTGAGCATGAGGTAGATGTTGACCAGCATGGCTGAAGCAGGTACGAAGGGCACGCAGGGCGCCATGTAGGGCAGACGCTTAGGGTTCTCTGGCTGCTGGAGGATGATGATGACCAGCAGGGCGATGAAGAGAATGAAGAAGATTAATAGCAGCAAGGCCCACCAGCGACCCTCTCCGATGCTGCTCGCTCCTGAAAGAAACAAACCAAAAACAGTTTAATGTGTTCTTCCATCCTATTGCTGTATTTGAGTGTTTGTTAACTTCTTCTCACCGAAAATGATAAAGGAGCAGAAAGCGAAGATGAAGATGAAGAGCAGCAGCACACACACAGTGACGGTTTTGCCGGTGGCTGCAGTCGGTCTGTCCATCTTTCCCGGGAGGCCGAGTCGGATCCTCAGAGTATAGTAACGCGGCCCGATCAGTTTCTTCAAACGCCGGGACAGACCGCCTTCAGACTCCTCTGCTTCGATGCCCGTGGTCATATCCACCGTGCCGTAGTTAGGGTGGCTGGCAGTGTACGCGTTTTTATCTGGTTTGCCGATCAGCATCTCGTTGTCGCCCAGCGACGGCAGGTTTTTGGCTCCGCAGGTGTTGGTGGGCGGACCTCCGTACTCGTCAGCTTCGCTGGTTGGCGAGCAGGCGTCTTTCTCGCACTCGGCCAGAACGCCCTCCTTCCTCTTGTTGTTCTGCTCCTCAGAGAGGAAGTTCACGAAGCCGTGGATGTCGCCCTCCGGTTGGTAGCGTAACAGGAGAACACAGAGGCTCACCTGCAGGATGGCAGACAGAGCACATGGGTTTATGTAAAACTAAAAAGACTGATTTTCTGTTACCAAAATCAGTTTTTCTTTTCTTGCCTGGCACACAACAAGAAATATTTCTAACTTTTTGTTTTGAGGTCACCATTCGATGCAAGTGAAGTTTCACAAAATTTGGCTCATTTTATACGGTTTTATTGAGCATATGGAACATTGTCTGAGTTGGGATTGTCTCATGCATCCCCACTGCTTCAGTTATTTGACTCCTGCCATGCATCATAGACACAAAAGTGTACAAAACAACCTCTTCACATGCCAACAACAACTGCTTCAGCCTCCTGGCATTAAGTCTCGCTGTTTATGTGCATTTACAGCTATCTCATATTTCTATATAAATCATGTGTTGGGGGGGATTAGTTTTCCCAGCAAAATCCCTGTTGCTGTGTGCAATCTTTAAGAGGTCCTTCAAAGAGCAAAGCTCTTTTCACAACATCTGAAAAAAGGCACTCCACTCCTTTATGCACTGTAAATGTTGCAGCCTTAAGAGACAAGAAAAGCAGGAGAAACACACTCATGCTTGGTTTATATTAAAAACACATTACAGCTCCGTTATAGATTGCTCCAAAGGTTATAAACTACTGAAGATAAATCGCTGAAATAATCCAGTTTCCCTAAGCAGGCACCCCTATGGTTTGTGTGTATCCACCATCATTCTCCACCACTCACCAGGGTGTAGGCCAGCAGGGTTCCTATAGACATCATCTCTATGAGGTCTCTGAGGCTGACCAGGAGGGACAACAGGGCAGCCAGGAAGCCCGACACCACGCAGGCTACAGCGGGAGTCTCTGTGTAGGAAGACACGTTGGCCAGGAACCTAAACACACACAGCGATGAGCAGACTGACACTCAGGCGCATACGTCACTTAGATTGAAAAATGAAAAACATTAAACAACTGTGTGGACTCACTTGAACAGCAGGCCGTCCCCTGCCATGGCGTAGATCACCCTGGGCATGGGGAACAGGGACCCCAGGAGGGACACGGTCAGTCCGGCTATAGATCCGACCGCCACGATGTACTTGGCGAACATGCAGCCGTGCATGGCAAACATCTCCATGAGCGGGGCGTCTGCATCGATCTCATTGTACGGCACCATCAGCGTCAGGATCACAGAAACCTGGAGGGAAAACGCAAATATAGTTTTGGTTATTATTAACAAGTTCAATAGAAATTTGATTTTTTGAAAAGAGAAAAAAAAAAGAATTTCAACATAAAAGTTGCTAAAATAGAAATGAATGATACAACTAGTGTGACTAAGCTAAATAATTGTACATTTTTGTTGCTGTATTTAACCCTTACATGCTGCTTTGGGTCAAATTTGACCTATTTTGACATTTGACAACAGTAAAAATACCCTAAATGACATCCCTTTAGCCTGGAATTGGAGGACGTGCCTCTTCTGCTTGGCATATAATCGAGTTTAAGTGGACTTTTGGCAAATTTTAATTAATTTTATTCTATTTTATGTTATTTTGTAGCACTGTGTTATGTATTTTAGTATTATTTATTTATTGTAATTGCTGCATTTTATTCATTATTTGGCTTCTAATGTGTACAGCACACCGGTCACCCCGGTTATTTTAAATGTGCTCTCTAAATAAAGTTTGAGTTGAGTTACGTTGAGGCTTTTCCTAAAGTGATCTAAAATACACAAAAATGAAAATATTTTAAAATGTTATACTTTTGTACAGATGCTACAAATTTTTGCACACTGAGGCTGTTTCGGGTCAAATCTGACCCGTATCCATTGAGATGGATTTTAGATCCACCAGTGTGGGTCAAATCAAGGAAGATGGTAGTTTTAAGGAAGCTTGAAACTGTTTTTTTAATGTATTTTTTATTTACATTTATGAATGTGACATGCAGATAGACTGGTGACCTGTCCAGGGTGTCCCCTGCCTTCACCCTGAGTCAGCTGGGATAGACTCCAGCCCCCCATGACCCTAGTGAGGATTAAGTGGTGTATAGATAATGGATGGATGGACATTCTAAATAGATCTGTAGTTTAAAATTTGGTATAGACACTTGCTATAGGGGAATTATTGACAGGACACCATACTGTGAAGGCATAAAATATGAACAGTACATAAGGCTTAAAGTCATTATGTGTAGAAATATATCACACACCGATGCGTGGCGCCTGCTTCGACGGGAAAACAACAACAAAAACAAAAAAAACTCATCAAAAAAAAGCTGCTAAAAATCATGTCATGTAACTGAAAGCGTCACAACAGCTACTAAACGACAGATTAACATAAACATTTAGGCTTTAAATACCGGTACGTGTTGAGCTGCTTCCTCACAGCTTAGCGTTGCACAGTTAGCATGTTTAGCATACTGCACATCGCATCACGTGCAAAACGTTCATTAGTCATGCTTCTCTCTCATTGTGTGTGCGTTCGTTTTTTTTTATCCTTGCGTTTGACGTGTGAAATCAAGCAGAGCCATCTGTCACAAATGCTGTGCTGCAAAAGAGGTGGATTTGCATGAACAGATTACAGAGAGGGAGGGGTCATGTAAGAAAAAAAAAAAAAAGACTAACCCTGCACAGAAAGAGAGATCAGTTTCTATACTAGTAACCTGATGCCCTTTAACCTTTCATCCAATCCAGACTCAGCTTGGTCGACAGCGACGGTGAACCAATCAAAGGGGAATATACTAATCTAGAGGGAATCCTGCAACAAATCCTCGTTAAACATATTCGTTTGAGAAAGCAAAGCTGATTCCAAGCTCCATCCAGACTCCACTTTAGCTCCCTGTCAACTAGTTTGCACATTCATGCGGCGCCCCGCTGCGACCGAGGGTTTCCCAAAAACAGCATAACTCTTTGCCTGACGGCCCTCTTACATGAATTTGCTCTCCAATTAAGAGGATGAAAGGAAAATTGTACATGGAGATACGGCGAGTGGGAACGCTGAAGGAAGAGGAACTATCTTGGATGAAGAAGTGTGTCTCACTGAGCCTAATTCGAGTGTATTGCATAATGTATAACCGATGTCACCAGAAAAAAAAAAACGATGTGACATTTAATGTGTTTAATGGATTAAAGTGATTCTACAGATTGAACCGCAGCAGCGAGAGGATTCTCGTGGGAGCAGAAAAAAAAAGGTATTCCAAAATGCCTACAGAGTAAGCAAGATCAAAGAAAGGTGGAGATTAAGAGAGGCTCGGAAAATAGATTTCGGTGCACAAGAGAGGATGTGGAAGAATAGATGTGACTTGAAGACAGACAGACAGAGACATAGAGAGAGAGAGAGAGAGAGAGGAGGATTTTGAAAAGTAGTTTTGAAGTTGATGCAATCTTTGCTCCAGGCAATGTTGAAAAATTCCTCATTTCTGATAGGCTGCAGCTCCACGGGACCCATAGCAACAAGCATCCAGCTCACATTAGGCCGATCTGGAAGGCTGTTTGAGCCGCATACGAGAAGATCAGGGATGAGATACGCCCACACAGTCAGAGTGGAAACATCTTCATATTTGATCATCTTTTTGTTGGAAACGTCTCAAAATTTGGGGGAAACACTTCTCGTCTGTATTCACAAGTAAATCGATACACCTGAAGCCGAGGGTGTGACGACGAAGGCTGATAAATAATCAAGCAGATGTATATCTTTTCATTTTAAACTAAAAATTAAGGAGCATGTCGGAAAATACAGCAAGCGTAAAATGAGCTGTTTTGTTCCCGAATCAGAGATGAAATTGCCACAACGTCTGTCATGTGGGATTCAAAATGTTCCAAAAACTATGTATGAAATAGAAACTGCATTGTGTTTATAACCTACCTATCGTCCCACAAACGAGCAAAATATCTATTTGTGAAGCAGGAATGTAATTTACTAACACTGAAATGACTGAGCCAAGAGATTATCTCACCTCAGTGTCACACGTTCGCGGCCAAAATATTCCAACTGGCGATGAGAAATGTGTGACTGCAGCAGCAGCAGCAGCACAGCGAGTAGCAAGAATGAGGTTTTTTCCAATTCTTAAAATGTTTTCAAACCGCTCCTTAATGCTCAGATCCTGTTAAACGGGAGATAAACGAGGAATGCTAGTTCGTGTTTGTGACGTGGTTTCTAGGGCGACTCACAGAAACGTAGGCAGTGAGGCAGGTGATGAGCGAGGCAGTGATGGCATACGGGATGGAGGTGTTGGGACTCTTGGCCTCTTCTCCTGTTGTGGCAATGATGTCAAATCCGATAAAGGCGTAGAAGCAGGTGGCGGCACCCTGCATCACCTGCAGCAGAGAGGAGGCAAGAGAACATAAAGAACACAACCAGATCATGTTAAAAGATATCAGCCCATCTATTTTATCAGCTTGCATGTTATTTATTTCAGTGCCTATAATAAATATTCACCCTTCTTGAATGTTTTATCCTTTTTGGCTTTGCAACATTGAATCATGGTGAATTAAATCTGACTTTTTTCAACAAGAATTTGCAAAAAAAAGACTGTCTGTGCCTGTGTGGGTAGGATTCGATGAGCCTTGAACATCTGGACGCTGCAATTTTTCATTGTGTTTTTGCAAAACTGCTCAAGCTCCGTCAGGTTGCACAGGGATCATGAGTCCTTTCCAAGTCAACCCACAAAATCTCAATTGGATTAAGGTCTGGGCTCCGGCTCAACCACTTCACAACAGTCATCATGTTGTCTCTAAACCATTTCTGTGTGCGTTGGGAAATTGTCTTGCTGAAAAAAAACAATCTTTTCCGTTCTCTTGCTGTTCTCTCCAGGATGTCCCTGGACTTCAATGCATTGATTTTACCCTCTGCCTTAAGAAGTCTTCCAGAGCTTGCTGCCGAAGCGCATCCTCACATCATGATGGTGCCACTGCCGTGCTTCATGGTGGGGGATGGTGCGTTGAGATGATGTGTACTGTTTCGTGTTCAATCAACTTTGGCTTCATCCGATCAAAGAACATTCTTCCAGGGGACTTTAGATTCTCTCGCATGTATTCTGGCAAATTTTAGCCTTGATTTATTTATGAGCTTTTTTCAACAGTGAAACAGTTGTTGTCTACACAGTCTCTCCAATCTCAGCCACTGAAGCTTGTAGCTCCTTTAGAGAAGTCATAGCTGTCTTGGTGGCCTCCCTCACTTCTTTCTTTCTTACACCATCACTCAGTTTTCTGCTCTCGGCACATTTACCTGTACCATATTGATTCTGTTTCTTAATGATGGATTTAACTTTATTCCAAGGCATTTGAATTGGTTTTGTATTCATCCCCTGACTTTCAGTCACCTTTTCATGGAGCTGTGTGGAGTGCTCTTTTGTCTTCAGTGTGTAATTATAGCCAAGAACACTGACTGGACCTTCCAGATACAGGTGTCTTTATACTGATATCATCTGAGGCACACGATGATCTCTATTTCACTAATTGTGTGACTTCGAGCACTAAATGGCTGTACCTGTGCTTAATGTGGTGAGTCACTTTAAAGGGGGTGAATATTTTTTCAATCACTTATTTTATGTTTAATTTGATGTCATTTAATTTTATGTTCATTGCACATGTGTTTGCGATGAGTGTGTGCGTACCCCTGACCAGCCGAAGGGCAGGAATCTCCCCTCGTCCCAGTTCTCTCCGTTGACAAAGAACAGCCCGGCGATCATCATGAACACCCACACTATGAGGTTGATGACGTTTAGCACGTTGTTGAAGCCCACGGAGTTCTTCACTCCCAAAGCCACGATCACCGTCACCAGCAAAGCTATCAGCAGCGCCAGCAGGTCCGGGTACGATTGCTCTCCTTTGCCTAGAAGGAAAACGTTCACACCAGCATATATCAGTATCATAGACTGTATAAAAGATGGACGTAGCAACCGGCCCTGAAAAATGAAGCCAACCCGGAAGTATCAAAAACCTGCAATATCACTACGTCCACTAGCTGCTGCCTCCAAAAAGCCCTGGCTCCCATAGAAATGAAATGGAAAAGAAGTGGTCACAGATCATGAAATACTGCTTTCCTACAGCTCAGGATTTTTTAAAAATTAGTTTTCATGGTCAAGTCCAGAGATCAGGTGGCCAATCTGAAAATAAATCAATACTGAATTTTTAAAAAATCGTAAAACTTTTGCGGGGCAAGGGGCGTGGCTGGCTTGATTGACAGTCGACAGCGACCATACAGATGAAGCCAGCAGAAGGTGGTAAATGTGGGCGGGCAGAGAGGGCCTGCCTCTCAATCCGTCTGACCAATCGCTGCTCCTGTGGCTCCGCCCCCCTCCGACGATTTTTGAGTCACTGGCTCCAAAAATCCAAGATGTCAACCAGGAAGTAGCAAAACCCTGGCTTCATTTTCTCAGTGCAGAAACCAACGGGTGACGTCACGGTAGCTACGTCCATCTTTTATACAGTCTATGATCAGTATATATAAATCAACTTATACCATTGAGTTGAGTCACTTGTTCATCTAGAAAATGTCACAAATTGACAGAAAAGACGCATCACAATTACCCATGTCACACAAGGTAATGTTTTCAAATTGCTTGTTTTGCGTTTTGGCACAATGAAGAAAGTTATTTATATAAAGAAAAGCAGTAAATCCTCATATCTGAGAAGCATGATTTTCCTAGATAAGTGCTTTATACGATAATCAATTCTAAGAACTTTTGTTGAAGCTGTTTTCTGTCTATCAGTTTAATCATAAATTGACAAAATTATCTGACTACACAGTCTCACTTGTTGTTTCTAATACTTTCAAAAACACTCCCAGCGAGGTTCCACTTGTTTAACTGGGTAATGAGGTCATTAAATTAAAGCAACAAGTTAGTCAGACCTTGTGCTCATGTGAATCATTTATCTGTTACTCAACTGAGCATTTCAACACAACTGTGGACGATATCAAGAAATCACTTTACTGAATGCTCGTACAGTCCCTCATGCAATGTGGATGGGAATCAGAGAAACCCCTGACACAATCCTATCACAATACGTTTGTTAATGACAAGACAAGATAATCATCTAACTACATCACAACGTTTGTGTAACTGAAAAAAGCCATCGGCAGGATTTATGTATTCAGTCACTGCATTGTAGGGTCACTGTGTGTATTAACATTGCATTTACATACTGTCAGTTTATTTAATTAGCTCTCTCAATTACTTTCCATCATTCTCCATGTTATGTTACAAATTGCCAAAATTATATCAGAGTGCTTTTCCCCCCCACACTTTTTCAAAGTCCTTGAACTACTTATCCGTCCCTTTACCCTTTTGTCTCATTTTTTAAAAAAATAAACAAAAATGAGCTGTTTGCTTGAACCAAATTCTATAAAAAACAAAAAACAATCTGTGGTTTTCAGTGCACCTGTGACTCCATCAGTGATTCACTTTCAACCAACAAACTCTGGGACTTTTCAGCTGGACTGTAGGTTTTGTTTCCACGGAGCAGATTGGAGAAAAAAAAGCATGGAAACTGTAAGTAATAAATTATTTGTAGGATGTAGAACCAACAGTTCTTTTTCCAGTATTGTAAACCCTGGTTATACTGCACAAAAGAAATACTGTGCTTGTGTTATTTCTGTTTCTGAATAGATGCAGGAATTAATATTCCAGTGTAAAATGAGCACACAGGGAGGAAAATGCGACAGGAGCAAAAAAGTAGTTGTGAATTTGTGACACTGGCAAGTCAAAATGGTTCATGGGAATCCATTTAGAGTCCCTGCATGTTTTGGTAAAAATATTTGGCCCCAGTGTAAAGTGAGATGACATTTTGTATAAGTAATATTGTGTCCCATCCATGCTGTTGTGTATAAATCATTAGCAAGTATAGGAGAGAACAAGACGTTAGGGATGCATGAACAAGTTTGTTGTATTTAATAACCACCCTGAAACCTGCTCTGTTTTCTTATGCAAAACATCCAAATTAGACTTTCTAACTTTCTCTGCAACAACATAACAGGAGACACATTTATATCTGGCACAGCTTTGCTTGGGTTAGCTGTCATTCATACTGTAGCATTGTGTTGGGTTCACAAACTGAACGCCCTCCACTCCAGGTAGTCAGTCAGTACGTCTAAACAGTTTACTAATAATTACCATTTAACCCAACTCAGCACTGCACATGTTTTACAAGAGCCCAGCTTGCGACTGTTTGGAAACTAACGAGATATATTTTGAGCTAAATTCCACTCTTGCCCAGGGGTGTGGCGAAATAATCATTTCTCTCCAACAGGAAAAGGAAACATTAACTTTCCATTAGGACGTGGAACAGCTGGCCGTGCTGCACATCATGTGACTACTACCGACGCTTTATCACTGGCCGGCAGGAAGAGAATGACAAGGCAATGTCACCTAGATAGACACACAGCTGCCACACACACACACACACCAGTGTATAGTATTACAGTAGATTAGCAGGAATCCTCGTCATGGTACAGATTAGGATCTGGAGAACTGTGTTGTATTAATCATTTAGAAATCCAAGATGCTACAGCCGCTGTTGCTTTCCACAGTGACATGACGTCCAAGATAAGCAGTGAAATGTTGCTTGGATGCTTCCTGGAAATATTAAAAAAAAAACATCCAGCGTGGTTTGGATGGTTGCCCGGATGGTGTTAACATTTCACTGTCAGTATTTTTATTAGGATTTGAAAGATGCGCTATCATTCACACAGAGAAGGCCACACAGAATCTTCTCAGTGGTACGGATGGCATTGGGCTTCTCTAATTTATGACTCGAAGGGAGAAGTAATCTTCGCGCACAAATGCTGAATAACAGCAAAGACAGAGTTTATTAAATTTGCTTTGGGTCAACTGTCATTCAGCCCAGGAGAGTGCAGGTTTAAGCCACTGGGGCAGGAAGTATCTGCCCTCTACAACTGCAGCTACAAGAGCAGAGCTGACCTTCTAGAGAGGAGCGAGTAGAATGAAGAATAATTTGTCCCAAAGGTCACCGGGGTGAACGTCTGTTTACAGCTTTAAAGCAAAGCATTCTTGACAGTTGACCAGGACACTGATGACTGCGGCTGAAAGCTGATGAGCTCTGTGCTGTTCTGAAAGTCGACTAATAAAATGCTTCCAAGGAAACAAACTGCTCTCTGTAGAGAAAAGAAACATTTTTGAATTGGCTACAGATATTTTCTGACTTCCTGTTGTGTTTGAGTTCACCAAACCATTGTGTCAGTGAAACCCAACCATGCTGCAAAATATGAAGCAGTTGAAAGCCTTTATTTTTGTTTAACCCTATTCAGGACTTTTGGAGTCTTTTGGACCCCAGATCATTTGGTTTAGGTGACACAGGTATTGTTTTTTTTATTTTTTAAGATTTTTCTTTTTTTTTTTATATAAAAAGAGGAACATTTGTCATGCACTTGGAACCTAAAATACGTTAACTTATCAGAAAATGATTTAACAGAGTGTGAAAGTCTATAATGAATACCAACAAATATTTTGCATATTCTTTCTTGGGGCTGCAGGGTGGTGCAGTTGGTAGCACTGTTGCCTCGCAGCAAGAAGGTCGCCGGTTCACATTCCAGTGGGGGCACCGGAATCTTTCTGTGTGGAGTTTGCATGTTCTCCTCGTGCAGCGTGGGTTCTCTCCGGGTTCTCCGGCTTCCTCCCACACAGTCCAAAAACATGTTGAGGTTAACTAGTGATTCTAAATTGTCCGTAGGTGTGAATGTGAGTGTGCTTGGTTGTCTGTCTCTAAGTGTAGCCCTGTGATAGACTGGTGACCTGTCCAGGGTGTCCCGCCTTCACCCTGAGTCAGCTGGGATAGACTCCAGCCCCCCATGACCCTAGTGAGGATTAAGCGGTGTATAGATAATGGAAGAATGGGGTCTTTTGGACCCCAGGCCATTTGGTTTATGTGACAGGTATTGGTTTTCTTATTTTTTTTTTAAATATAAAAAGAGGGACATTTGTCATGCATTTGGAACCAAAAGCACATCAACTTATCAGAAAATGATTTAACAGAGTATAAAAGTCTATAATGAGTACCAACAAATATTTTGCACATATTCTTTCTTGGACCTCAAAAGACCGTCTACGTAAGGCAACATGAAAGTCCTGCATAGGGCTAAGTTAAACCATTGTAGCTCTCACATCCTCACTGCACTCACCCAAGCCGTTGAGCGTTCCGATGTGCGAGATCATAAAGTTGCTGATGCTGTGATTGGCCAGCGAGTCCGCCATGCTGCTGAGAGCCGACGCCCCGGCCGCCGTGCCGATCAGATACTCCAGGATCAAGTTCCAGCCGATGAAGAAAGCCACGCACTCGCCCACGGTCACGTAGCTGTACGTGTAGGCCGAACCCGTGGTCTTAGGCACGCGCACGCCGAACTCGGCGTAGCACACTCCTTTGGGACGGAGAGAGCAGAGACACACATATCAATAATTTGACAGCATTATCGCTAAAGTGAAAGGCTGACCTGAAGGTATTGATAGGAGAATTACGGTAGCACTAAGCCATCCCTTAAGTGCCTCTCACATTATAGCTTTGTCCGTATAATGTCTTTGCCCTTGTGATAATTGCTTAGTTATTAAAAGGCTCTTCATATAAATCACGCTGGTTAAATGGTGATAAGAATGACAGGAGCCTTTATACTGTGGCCATATTCACCTCAGTGTATGTTTGAAACAGTAAGAGTCACCGTGCGCCACAAGATCCAGTCTGACCTGACAGGATGGAGGCCACAGCGGCGATAATGAAGGACACGATGACCCCAGGGCCGGCCATCTCCTTGGCAACCAGCCCCGACACCACGTACATCCCCGTCCCGACGCAGCTGCCGACACCCAGCGACACCAGGTCCACCGTGGACAGCACCCGGGCCAGCCTGGTCCCATGCGAGCTGGTGCCCGTCATGGCCGAATCCAGCATGGACTCCACGGGCTTGGTCCTCAGGACGCGGGACGCGAAGGTGTTCCATGTCGAGCCCCACTGTATCCTGCGAGGGTCCAGCTTCCCTGCCAGGCCGCTCATACTGAGGGCTGAAGGTCAAAGGGGAGGAAACTGACAAAGAGGAGTGGAAGATACGGGCTCTGGGATGTTTTTTCCTCAAGTTCTTTTTCCTTTTTTCTCTAGAGCAGCGTGGAGGAGGAGTTATTCCTTATCCAAATGATGGAAGAAGATGTGATCTGGTCTTGCTGCCTGTGCCTCTGCTCTGCGGTTCACTGGAAAGCCATGTTAGTTTTTCTCCACATGGTGAGAGAGAAAGTTATCTGAAAGACAAAAGTGGGAGGGTTTATTTTCGCAGCATTTCACAGCGCATTGCCTTCCATTACTCGTCTGACACAGCGGATACTTCTTGAGCACACATGCCAAGACACAGGAGCCCTAAGGTGCAGATGTATTACAAGTTTGTCTACCAATGAAGCGTTCCTGAATGAGGAAGCAGCTAATTAGTAATCCCCCTCTTCGTACCCCTGTTGCTATAGTAGCCAAGCTCATTAGTGAGAGCCATGGGGACTAAATCGCTTTCTGTTGTCTGTAAGAGGGAGACAGAGCAACATGTGCAAGCTTATACAAGTCCATCTTTTTTTTTTTGGAGCAAATAATGGACAGACTCTGACTTTATTGTACTGTATGCTGCCACTTCAGTCTTCCTGAAACACAGAGAAATTAGCTGTAAGTAGCTGTGTGGAGGCTTTTACACCACACGCTGGTACAAGTTTTATAAACTATGACCTTATATGAATCTACAGTACTATTTGTATATTAGCTTTATAATTAATTTTCACAGTTCATATCCTGCTGCGTCAATGTAGAGTCTATTCAAGCACATCATTTACATATCTATACATTTACTCTGTTGCATTTCAGAGTTTATTGGAAAATTCTGCCTCGCTGTATTTATCGTCAGCTATGATTACAGGATTACAATTAAAGCTTGGTGCCACTGTAAATTAAAAGCTGCACATGTAATTAGTTGCATCATTTCTGTGCAAAACTACCAAAAGTTGAAAGCTAAAGGTTGTGTGTTCAACATTTAAATCCAGTGGATGTCGCAAGAGCACCACCACCTCAGACCAAAACAAAAGAGCGTGTCGGCCACGCCTGCCTCCTCCCTTCACTCGCATTTACAACCAGAAGGGTTTGTGTACATAACGGCCAATAAAAGGTAATCCACAACCATAACCATTAACGAATGCTAGTGTTGTAAAGCATACTGAAAGGCGCTAACAACATGCTGTCAACTCGAGTAACGTTATCTTCACTTCACCCGTTTCCCCTGTTATCTGTTTCTGCCTGTTTCGCTTCATTTGTGTCTGTTTTCATAGTTTATGTGTGGGTCACATCTGGACCGTTCATGGATGGACTGGAGTGGACTCTCATGTGGAAACAGACACACAAAGCCCGGAGCAACTCAGACATAAGCAGAGTAAGAATAGCAAAACAGCAGCAGAGACTCTCACACTGAGCTGAAATGAAATGAATGCACATAGATCAGGTAAAATAGCATGAACAAAACAGACATTTGAAAGTTTTTCTGATTTTAGGGCGATCCTTGGTTATGTCATAGTGTTTGCATGTTCTCCCGGTGCAGCGTGGGTTCTCTCCGGGTTCCTCCCACAGTCCAAAAACATGTTGAGGTTAATTGGTGATTCTAAATTGTCTGTAGGTGTGAACCCCTGCCTTCGCCCTGAGTCAGCTGGGATAGCCCCCGCGACCCTAGTGAGGATTAAATGGTGTATAGATAATGGATATGGATGATTGTGGTGTGGGGGGCCGCTCTCGGTCTGGTTATAAGCACAGGGAGGGCCAACAGTTTCAAAAAGAGGGTCTCACATACACTGAGGTGCACAAACGTACGGTTTGACCGGCTGCCAAAACAAAGAACAGAGAAGCTTAGATTACAAAACACACATAGAGGGAGTGTGATGTCATTCTCTGCTAAGGACGCCATTACCCGCTATACCATCACATAGCAGATAGTTGTTTGTTTGCTGTGTTTATGTTCAGAATCTCGCATATTTAAAAAACAACAACCTGGTGAAACACACTTAGATATAACAAAGCAGAGACAAAAAGTCTAGTATTATTAGTTTGTTCGTGCCATAACAATTTAATTACCGGCCTGCAATTTACAAAGTTGAAAGCTTGTTATATGTAGTATGAGCACAACTTTGCACACTCTGTATTAAGTCGCTTCATTATAATAATTTTACATGTAATAAAATAATAATCACAGAGGCTATTTTCCTACTGAAGTAATTCAATTTGGATGCTTTAAGTGAGTTTGCCAGCTGACGATAGAACCACACTTCTACTTTACTTGAATTAATTACATGCTTGACTTTAATAACTAGATTTTCATAGTGGTATTGCTACTTTTATTCAAACCAATTGTCTGAGTAATTCTCCTACGATACTATAACTGCAGTGCAAAAAGTTTCTTCAATCAGCAAATTAGAAATTCTTTATGTTGGACAGTGTAACTGAAACATGTAGCTGAATATTACCTCAGCAAGCAAATCTAGAGTTTTTCCTGAATAATTCTAACAATTGTGCATTAATGACAAAACATTATTAAAACAGCAGAGGCTCTGCGATGCTCCTCTGCACCGTTTAAACAGTGTCCCCGATGCCATGTGAGCAACACGGCGATTAGAGACGCTGTTGAATAGAGAGCTATTATAGCCATCAATTGCGGCGCGCTCGGTCCACCTCTCCGTCTCTCTCTCTTAACAGCAGTGAACTAACACTCACCATTCATCTACTCCCAACAACAAACGCAAGTTGCTGAACAAACACACACTCGCGTTCAGCACACCCACGCTGCCTCTCAGCTATAACATGAGCCACTCAGATGATGACTGCAATTACCCAGCTGTTTAACCAGAGCCGGCCGGGGCTGCTATTGTCGCTGCACTTAGTGCGGATTACGAGCATGTGCAGCAGTACAGGAAATTCAAAAGGTGATTTAATTTGGTTGTGATGGCGACTGCTGGGTGGGACCGGGGGGCTCTCAAACTAGCACAAGGCCGAGCTACAGGTACAGTCATCCTCAGATTTATTCATACCCTCCCATCAAAGAAGGAAAAAAACATCTTTCACTGGAATGAGTTGAAATTGACAAAAGTAATAATAAATACAAATT